CGAGTCTCTCAAAGCTAGAAGTTCCAAAAGAAAAGGATCAGTCAACCCTTTGTAATACTTATCGTAAGCATGGATGAGTGAAGCTGATGCCATAAATCCAACAAAACCGATGCTTCCACAAACCTCACGCCGTGTAGCTCCATCAAAGTGTACTAGCCATCCCCCTGGCGGACAGCTTGGAGAAGGTGTTGCAGGTGTCGAACGTCCTGGCAGACTCCCACCTCTCGATCTCGAAGCGGATGATGCATTCCCTTCGTCCCGTTGTTGAAGATATTGGCGATGAAGAGGTCTGGGTAAGTATTGGATTCGGTCAAAACAAGACCAACATCGCGCCTTCCATATGTGCCATATAATGAACACTAGCTCCGCCATATGTACTTTGTCTAGTTGAAGTGAATTAAATACATAGGACCAGGCCAAATCAGGGGATAAATTAGCAAAAGCCAATCGAATGTGCTCTTTTCCTGTCGGAAACCAAACCCCTCGAGCGACCCTACAGTCAAATAGACAGTGAGAAATTGTTTCTATAGCCGAAGAACAAACATGACATAGGTTTGATTCACTCAAGGACTTAATTTGTAGCACTTCCAGACAAGGCAAAAAACCTCTTACGACCCTCCAAAAAAAGGATTTCAGTTTAGGAGGAACAGGCAAACTCCAAAGTAGTTTCCAGAATTGTGAGTCAAGATGCGATGGGAGGTTGCTGAACATCTCCGAACGTTCATCCTAAAGCATATGGTATCCGCCTTCACTGAATACTGACCTATATCAGAATAATTCCATATATATTTATCATGTCTAGGAGAGGAAGGGAGAGGAATAGATAAGATCAGCTTAATGCTATCACAAGTAAAGTAAGCACAGAGAAGATCCTCATTCCAAGAACGGGCCAGCGGGTGTATCAAAGATGCCACGAACGAATTGGGGAGCTGAATTTCAGGCAGCAGATCCGGGGATGAAGGAGGTGATGTAGGAAGCCATGGATCATTAAGTATTCAGATGGATGTACCACATCCGACCTACCAGCAAAGTCCCTTGCGCAACAATTTACGTCCTTCTATTACTCCTTGCCACACCCATGATGGTCGCGTCCCCGTGGGAGCAGTGAGGAAGGCACAGTGAGGATAATAACGCGCCCTGTACATCTTAGCTAGGGTGGAATTCGTGGACATAAGGATCTTCCAAGCTTGTTTGGCTAACATGGTTACGTTGAAGATGCCAAAGTCCCGAAATCCTAGTCCGCCGTGAAATTTACTCACACAGAGTGCTGGCCAAGCTATCCAATGAATCCCTTTTTCCTTATCTTGGCTTGCCCACCAGAATCATGAAAGCTGTCCATTCATTCGCCGTCAGGAAGTGTCAGGTAATCAGAAAGAAAGCATCGCATACACCGGGATCGCTGAACCGCTGCTTTTGTAACCACCTCTTTTACTGCCAAAGAGAGTGACTTCGATTTCCAGTTTTATATGCGCTTAGCGAGTGCGTCTTCAATAAACCGAAATGTTTGGACTTTGGATCTTTGCACCTAAGCAGGTAAACCCAGGTATTTGTCCAAAGCACCAATGGATTCCACTCCCAACACTGCAGCCAAATTGGATGCTTCCTGGCAGAAACATTAGAATTGAAGCAGACTTTTGATTTTGGGTTAATACCTTAGTTTAGCACGAACTATACACATACTTTCTACTTTGGTCCGTGGTATTGGAAATTGCTATTCTGGCCAGAACTATGTAGCAAACTTCCTCATTTGGCCTGTAGGCGGGTTTGACCGTTAAATTAGACGGTCAAACTTGTTGACCGTTAGTCAATGTCCACCTCACCTGCCACGTCAGTTTTGAGGACATAAAAAATATATTTTTTTTTATTTCTGAATTTTGTTTTCATGTCATTTGCTAAAAATGGGCCCTTTTTCGTTCTTTTAATTAATTTTGTTGATTTATTATTTTTATTAATCGAAAGAGAAAAAAATTCAGAAATAAAAAAAATAATTTATTATGTCCTGAAAGCTGACGTGGCAGGTGAGGTGGACATTGACTAACGGTCAATAGGTTTGACCGTCTAATTTGATGGTCAAACCCGCCTCCAGGCCAAGTGAGGAAGTTTGCTACATAGTTCATGCCAGAATAGCAATTTCCAATACCACGGGCCAAAGTAGAAAGTATGTGTATAGTTCAGGCCAAACTAAGGTATTAACCATTTGATTTTTGGAGGTTTACTTTTTGCCAACTAGCTGATTCATACATGCTAAGTAGTTGTAGAAGCTGGGTGCTTTCTGTGGGAGAAGCTTGGAAAAACAGATAAGTATCGTTAGCAAACAACATATGTGAATTCGTAGGAGCTAAATGATGAATTTTGAGGCCATGTAAATGCTGGGATGCAAGTGCATTAGAAATCAACGTGGAAAAAGCTTCAGTGTAAATAGCAAATAGAAGAGGCGAAAGTGGATCTTGGCGGATACACCGTTGTGGATGAAAGTAGCCATGTGTGGTACCATTTAGCAGCACAGAAAAGGTGACGGTTGTGACACAAGCTTTGATAAGCTTTATCCAAGAGGCCTCAAAACCCAGCGATTCCATAACAGAAAATAAAAAATTCCATTCCACTCAGTCGTATGCTTTTTCCATATCGAGCTTTAGGGCCATCCATTTATCTCGTCCTTGTGATTTCATCATGAGAAAGTGCATAACCTCTTGGGCGATAAGGTTGTTATCTGAGATGTCCCTTCCTTTAACAAACCCATTCTGAGAGTCACTAATCACAGAAGGAAGAACCTGACTCTAACGAGAGGTTAGAACCTTGGAGATGATCTTGTAAAAGACCTGGCATAGCCCTATTGGGCGCATCTGTTTCATTGAATCTGCATTGGGAACCTTGGGAATCAAAGTTAACAATGTATGGTTAAAGTTGTGTAATAATCGACCTAATCTAAAGAAAGATAAAGCGGCCACACACACGGAGTTACCAATGATGTCCCAATACGCTTGGTAGAATGCAGCAGTGAAACTGTCCGATCTCGGGGCTTGGGATGAACAGATACTAAAGGCTGCTTGTTTAATTTCATCTCTAGTAACTGGTGCTATAAGAAATCTGTTATGTGACAAGCTTACCTTCCGTGGCAGACAAAGGGTCGTCACTAGAAAATGAAATGGGTTTCCATTAGAGGAAAAGAGAGTTTAGAAATAGACAACTGAGACATTACCTTTAGCTGGTTCCTCAATGTGAATTCCCCCAGACTCATCGCAAAGTAGTTCTATTTGGTTTTGATGCCGTCTTTGAGTTATCGTGATGTGGAAATATTTAGAGTTTGAATCTCCTTCCTGTAGCCAGCTGTTTCTGGATTTTAGTTTCCAATATACTTCTTCCTGGTGATAGCTACAACTAATTGTGATTTCAGCCCTTGAATTGTGTCCCAATCAATAGGTAAGCTCTCCCTTGCAGTCTTGATTGCTTGACGAAGCTCTCTAATCAATCTTGCTGAGTTTGTAGTCCCCTAACGAGCACAAATAACAAAGTAATGTCGAGCAGACTTGATAGTTGAAAAAAGTTGGAACTGAGGCGTTCCAACAAATACTTCTTGCCATGTCCGCAACACAATGGACTTGGCTTCATCGTTCGGACTCCATCATTTATCAAATTGAAATATGGGTTTACCTTTACTTAATCCGGTAACCAGCTGCAAGAAAATCATCTTGTGATCAGAGCCAAGATCAGTCAAGTGTGAGACCTGCACATTTGGCCAAACATGAGTGATTAGTTCAGAACCCAATCCACGATCAATGCGTTCAAGAATACGAGTATTTAGGCCTTGTCTATTTGACCTGGTGAAAGGGGGACCCTTGAACCCCAAGTCTAAGAGACCTGTTGAATCGATGAAAGATTGAAATTGATCCAAGATGGTGAAAGATGGTGGACGACCCCCCTGTTTCTCATATGCAAACAATAAACAGGTTAAGTCACCTATAACTATGATGGGAAGAGAACAAAACGAGATCAAACTAAGAATTTCATTGAATTGGCAACTACGAATATTTACATCAAAACTTAAATGAACAAAGATAACAGCTACACTACCCCAAACTAGATGTTTTATCTCGACATAAATATAGAAGACATATTCCCCTAGTACTCGGCAGTGGACATTAGAGGCACAAGCAAAAGCAAGGACGCCAGCCCTGCCAACTAGGGACACACAGCTGACCACAATATAGCCTAATCTACTAAGCTTCTTATTTTCATAATCATCATCACGTTTCGTCTCACTTAAATAAACAATCGACGGAGAGAATCGACAAATGTTTCCAAAGAGGGAAGGAATTGTGAGGGGAGAGCCAAGTCCCCTACAATTCTAAGAGAGGATGCTCATCTATTGATTTGGGACCAGTCAGGACTGGTTGCCACCACCACATCTTCATTGTTATCGTCCTACTACGGGAGTGATTCCTCTAGTTTCTATTTCTTACTCTTAGGATTGAGTAGCAGCTGGTCATCCATCTCAGTCCTACCTCGAGTTAGAACCGGAGAAGGAACCTCGCCCGTAGTCGTATCGGATATGTGATCAGCAGACGAGGAGGGCAGCCCTGGCAGCGCAAACCTCTTGAAATCACCTTGTTGATGCTGAGGGCGACTTGGCTCCCTCTCTTGGCGAACCCAGGTAAGGTTACGACGACCCAGTAGGTTCCTGTCGTTAACCTTGGGTCCAAATTTCTTGAAAATGAACTTCTTGTTATAGGGAGTTAGGGTGCCAGCGAGTTCGTCCCGACGGGGGCATTGTTGTCCAATGTGAACAAGGATTCCACACAAATAGAAAAATTGTGAGAGCTTCTCAAATTTCACAATGGCATCTCACGGAGTCTCATCTTATTCTAAATTTCTCATAAACCATTAAACCCTTTCCTTCCTCCGATTGCCTCGACTCTTCCCAGACTTCAACCGTTTTGCTCCAGCCAAAGACTCACTTAACACAGTTGCCCCTTTTTCTCTTCGACATTAACACAAACACCATGAGCTCATTCAACGACACCCCGAACTTCGACAATCCCCTCCTACAAAACCTAATGGGCCGTTATCAGATCCGGCCACCCAACTACTCCCAACGCCCTTTCCTCGCCAAATCCCTCGAGGACCTCATCTTCGACGTTGTCAAAGATCTCTCCAATGATGACGACAACCCCATGGATCCCAACGACGACATCGACTCTTCTACGAAGACCAAGCTTCGCAAAGAGGAGGCCAATCTCGATAAGGACATCATCCGGGTCATTCTATCAGGGAAGATTGATTCTTTGAAGCCCAACTCTGATTAGGCGGTAACCATTGGCGAGCACCATGTCTCTGTCGGGTTCCACGAGGAGAAGGGGTCGGATTACCGAGTGTGGGAGTGGCTTGGCCACATCATGCTATTTGACGAAGATAATGGGTACACCCCTGAATATATCTATGGGAAGAACTTTGAGAGGTTGCTTGGTGTTGGCGCCTTGCGTGGAGGTGGCGTGGTTAGTCGGTTAGAGGAGGCGAAGGAGGAGGATGAAGAGATAGAAGAGGAGAGAACAGCGAATTTGGGGTTGAGGGAGTTGATTGACGGAGGTGATTCCAATGGTGCTCGGATACAGCATAGGAATATCATCACAGACGCAAAGGTATGAAGTATGAACACTGGAATTGCGCACTTACTCTATCATAGTGCTTTGGTGATTCTTGCGTTCTGTGGTTATGAAACTTGCTCTGAGATAATAGCTATGCTCACACTTGTTATGTTGCAAGGCAATGCAGCTCTGCTCCAAAATTTGAAGAGTGGATGAAGGAGAATTAGATGCTTAATTACTAAGAAGTGTTTTGCTTGGGAAAGGGTGTAAAGACTTGTAGTAATAATTTATTCAAGTTGGACTTGTTTGTTGTCTTGCAAAGTTAGCATTCGTTGAATGTGTCTTTCGTGAACTATTTGTGTGGTGTGACATCTGGGTATTGCATTGGGTCATTAATAAATAGGGACTGTAGATCTAGGGGGCGAGAGATTGTGCGGCTAGGCTGGACGCGAAGTGCGCAGGGGGAATTTTTGTCCGTTTATAAATTTTAATTTTTTCTCTTTAATTTATCCAACATTTAATGGATGACTTTTCAATGGAGGAGAGAGAAATATTATTTTCTCTGCAGCTCTACTTTTTCTTTCTCTCTCTCATTCTCCTTCTCTAGATCTAGATCTGCTCCCTTCTCTTCTTCCTTTTTTTCTCCTTTCTCTTTCTCTCTCCCAATCTCCTTCTCCATATCTAGATCTGCTTCCTTCTCTACTTTTTTTTTCTCCAACAATCGATGAAGAAAAATTGCAGCCTCCCTCTTTCATTGCGCTTTTCTCTTCATCAAATCGTTGGCCTCAATTACGATCTTCCTCCTTTTTTGGCATTTTGGTGTTCTTTATTGCGGAAGAGGAAATGAGAGGAGACAGAATACGAGTTTTTTTCCTCTCCCTCCTTTTGTTTTTCTTTTAGGTAATATATATTGATATTACCACACTATACCATACGGTATTGTGTGATAACGAAATATATATTGATATTACCACACTATACCATTTGGTATTGTTTGGTATTGTGTGGTAACGAAATATATATTGATATTACCACACATATCATATGGTATTGTATGGTATTGTGTGGTATTACCACACCATACCACATTATATTGTGTGGTAACGAAATATATATTGATATTACCACACTATACCATATGGTAGTGGGTAGCAGTCGACACCTATTTCGAGAAAGAAGAGTTAGAAGACAATGAAGGGGAGAAGAAAGTGCTGAAAGTCGTAGTTATATAAGAGATTATATGGTAGGGAAGAATTGGGAGATTACCGTTCACACAAGAGCTTGATGGTGTTCCAATTTAATTTAGAGCTTGTGCTCATGGTATATCACACGTAAATGAGTGTCACTAATAAAAAGGTAGTTAACTTATAAACGACCTCCATGGATTCAAACAATCAATGGACCAAGCTAAGACAAAAATATTTAATCCATACTAAAAACGGTAAGCTGATGTAGAAATGCAATAGGGAGCGTATCAGGTAAGTAACCCTCCCATAATAACCATTAATAACCCTTTTCCCTGGTCCCCACGCGTCAGTCTTTTCTTTTTATTTAAATTAAATACAGAGGGACATTAGGGTAAATTGCCCAACCCCCATTTAATGCTGACGCGGACCCCACTCCTTGTTCCACGCGTGTTCCTCTCTCTCTCACTCTCTGCTTTATTATTAAAAAAATAAAAGGTTGTATGTTTTTTCCGGTGAATGACTTGATCAGAGGCATGTGTCTGATATTGCTATTTCTAGGACAACATTACCTAGCATTCTTAGGCCAATTTTGAGCATACTTAACTTGCTTTTCAGGCGTTTAAAATTTTCCTTGTAAATCGCAACTTGGAAGATTGTAAAGCCATGGTCAAAGAATCGATTCAACATGAGCAAGCATGCTTTCTGGGAGGCCAACTAAGGGTAACAACCCTTATAGTGCAAACTAAAACTCGGGATGGAGAAATCGCCGGAATTTCCTATGGTCTTCCCCATCGGATATGAAGCCTCCTAGTTTTCAAGATTAAGCACCAATGCGAGCCATATTTCAAAGATCAAACCCATCTTCAAGTCAAGGGCCATACTCAGAACAAGGTCGATCTTCGGATGGTCGGTTTTCCAAGCTTGTAGTTATGGTGGGACAATTCATCTCTACCGCAACAAGGAGATTTGATATAATTAATAGATTTTTAGAGAACGCCGCAAACAAGTTCTCAACCTTGGAGGCAGGTCAAAGGAATCACCAAGCGACTCTTCAAAATCTCGAATCACAAATGAGCTCCATAGCTCAATCCTTACCGGTGAGACCTCCATGAGCATTGTCGGGCATTACGAAGCCGAATCTTAAAGAAAGATTCCATGAAGTAAATCTAAGAAGAGGTCGGCCTTTTAAAAGATAACCCGAGCCGAATAACTTGTGCACCGGTGAAGGAAGCTTCAAAAGAGACTACTCCAGAGAAGGAACTTTGATTCGAGCCTAATTATACACTTTTTATCCCCTATTCTCTTTGACGTTTGTTACAATTGAACTAAAAAAAGGATGGTTTTATGCGATGTTGCTGGTGTTTCAGATCCTAACAGGTAAAACCAAACCCGGAGTCGAAAGTTGAAAGAAAAGGAGCAAAAACTGGGCAAAGAGGTGGAGACAGCCAATGTTCACGGTCTCACAGGGCCATGAACTGGACCCAAAACCCGTGAACCAAGGAGCATCCAGAGAGGGTTTTCAGGTTACTGAGGCCCAGGTTGTTCAGGGTCGCTGAGATCGTGAGCAGAGGCCGCTGACCGTGAATCCGAGCCAATGAAGCAGTGCGTTTTGGTCTCAGCACTGAGTTCACGGACGCGTTTCAATGTTCACGGTCGTGAACTCAGGCCGTGAACTGGGCGCCATCTCAACTTAAAAGGTCAGATGAAAGGAAGAAGAAAAGGGGGAGACCTAGTGTGAGAAACTTCTACGTCTTCAGATTTTAGAGTGAGAAAGTGACGAACCAAAGAAGAGGAAAAGCTAGGGTTTCATCTCCAAGCAAGTTTTTGGGAATTCCTTCCGCAAAGGAGGATTTCTTCAGCACAAGGAGCAAGGATTGCATCTTCTTGATGGTTTCCCTTTCCCTCTCTTGTGTTTTCCCTTCTTCTAACATGGATTAGTCCCCTTTTTCACGTGGGTGTTTGTAAATCCTAGCTACAATTATGTAAATGCTTGTATGAATTGAATGATTTGTGTGTGGTTGTGTTTTAATGTGAATATGGAGGTATTATTCAGAAATGATTGTGTTGTGTGAAAGCCTATAAATCTAATTGCCATTCTAACCTAACTTAGAGAGGAGACCTCCTTAGGTTAAGAGGCTGAATTTGAGATGAGTGTTCTTGGGCATTCCATGCCTTCTAGGCTAGTTTAGAGAGGAAACCTCCTTAGGTTAAGAGACTCAATTTGAGATGGGTGTTCTTGGGAATTTCATGCATCCTAGGCTAGTTTAGAGAGGTAACCTCCTTTATACAAAGAGGCTCGATTCGACCTGGGTTTCCTTGGGCATTCAATGCCTCCTAAGCTAGTTTAGAGAGAACCCTCCTTAACCTAATAGGCTCATTTCAAGATGGTTTCCTTGGCCAATCAATGCCTCCTAAGCTAGTTTAGAGAGAACCCTTCTTAACCTAAGAGGCTTTATTAGAGATGGGTTTCCTTGGGCATTTTATGCCTCCTATTCTAGGTTAGTTAAAGGGCATACCACCTATTTCCCATTAGCACTTAGGGTTTGGTTGTGGGTGGCCGTCCGAACTCCAATTCGAGGGTGAAGTCTAACCATTCCTTAGTTGATAGGTTGAGAGGGTCACATTAGTGGCTTGGATCATATCCCATTCCTCAACCTAGGGTCTAAGAGGGTAGCTTTGGCTGCTTGTTAGACTTCCCTGCGATTTATGACCCCCTAACCACACACGGTCGTTCGATTCTTCAAGTCATAATTGTTAGCTAGGGGGAGCAACACCCGGGTAAAACTTTCTCAACTACGGTTAAATCCATTTTACCTTTGCAAAGCAATTTAGTTTTAGATAATTTTTCAAACAGTTAAAGTAGCGGTACATGGACCGGCGGGGGTCGATATTTAAAAATATTTGCCTATATTACACCCATCTAAGGTTTATACTTGGATCATGATGGGATTTTATTGTGATAGTTAGAGCGAGTCAAGTTTTTGGCGTCATTGCTAGGGACTTCTGTCCTTTATCGTGAAAAGTTTGTTTGGTGTTAATCTAGCTTTTAATTTCTGTTTTTGTTAAGTTGTGAAGTGTTTGCTTGTGCTAGACGTGTTGTGTTATTTAAGTGTGTGTAGGGAGGTGCATGACCCAGAGCAATCCGGCGCCTTTAACACCACTGGACGAGGACATCAACCGGACTCTCCGACTTCTAGCTTAAGAGAGGGAGCAAGCGGAGGCAAGAAGGAGAAGTGAAGAAATGGGACAACAAGTTGGTCCCGGAATTGAAGGAGAAGTTGAAGTTGAGATGGCGGGAAATCAACACCGAGGGGCTAATCTGCTTCCAAAACCAAATGGGGAAGCGGAAGCCGAGGAAGGGCCAAGGACTATGGGCTATTACATGGGTCCACGGGCGGCGGATATCCAATCTCCCATCTTACATCCACCAGTGGCCGCCAACAACTTTGAGATCAAGTCCTCTCTCATGACGATGATTCAACATAATGCCTAGTTCCACAGGCTTGCCCATGAATAACCACGAGAGCATGTTCA